TCAGCATGATATGTGTAGGCAGAGGCACTCAGTCTGGTTGCAATGTGAGTAATTTTACATATTAATGTCTTGCCAATCAAATCTAATTGAAATCTTTCTGATAAAAATGTATTTAGTCTGTCACTAGAATGTAAATCTGTTCACACGTGCACCCAATAATTTAGTTTAGTATAGTACTGTGCTTTAAAATACTAATGGATCATGAAAAACACAACACTGACATACAGTACATTGAAACATTTCATGGGGATCAATCTGCAGAATGATGCAATTTCATGTATTTCCTAAACTTAATGATGAATGCTTTACAAATTAAAATAAAAAAAATATGTTTCAAAGTTTAAAATGCACCTAGCTATTAGTTATTTAAAGGTCCCCACATGAAGTCTATTTACAGAATAACAATTTTATTTGTGGGAGTTATCTTAAATGCACTAAGACATAATTGCATACTTTGTCCAAAGAACATTTCTCTTGAATACTGAACAGCACTACATAAAATGTTTGTTACTTTCTGTTTCCATTACTTCATTTTTGCTTCTTTTAGGGCAATTTTTTTTGCAAAAATCTGTTAGTAATCAAAGAAGAGATCAAGATTCTCCTAATATTTTTGCACATTTGCCTGTATCTAAACAAATAAAGGCTAGACCCGACAGTGAAAGTCACAATTTTTCATTTTTATTATTTTCTTGATGCAGCCTATGATACCAACAGGTGAATCTTAGTGCATCTAAGGTGGACACCAGTCTTACTAAATCAGGAAATCCAGCTCTGACGTTGTGTTCCTCAACCATAGCATGTTGCAGATGTGTGGCAGTTTTGTAGAGTGGTGAGAGGCTTCTTCGGTTTACTTGAGACGAGAGCCCTGCACATCTCGAGACTGAATCATGATTGTTTCATGTTACAAGTCAGTGAACAGAAACCAAAGAAATTACAGTTCCATTTCTCTGTTGTTGTTGTTGTTTTATTCCAATGAACAAGAAAAACTCCAGGAATAAATCTATGAACAAACTGCGTGTGGTTGTGCAGGTTTCAATCATTATTTTATTTTAGGGTGACTTCGGTGGACCGCTAAGCTGCAAAGTCAACAACACAGTATGCCCACAGGATAGCCAGTTTTGTGCCTATATGGGATGCAACACACCTCAGAAGTCCACTGTCTTTACTTGTTGAGACTACTACATCACATGGATCAACTCGATTAGTAAAGCCAATTTGTGAAATCTATTATAAAACTAAAGAAACAAAACATATAAACCTATATTCTCATTTCTGTATTGTTATGAACTGTTATTTTCTTCTAACAGTTCATAAAAAGCATCACCAGTTGCAACAAAAATAGCTCCACTTTATGCTTCTGCAACCAATTTTCCTGATCAAATCCTCTTCAAATAAACATTCCCAGAATGAATTCTGGTGTTATTTTATTCTCTTTTATACCCAATGCCATTTTTCAAGATTCAAGATTCAACAATTTTAATGTCGCATGCATAGTAAAAATGCAGTGGTTACAAGTGGCAATGAAAATCTCCTTGCAAGGTCCTTTCATAGACTTGGAAATAAATAAATAAATGAAGCCAAACAAGTAAATAAAACTGTAAGGACACATGTGCTGAGGCTATGTGCAAATACTCAGTGAATATGAGCAAATACTCAGTAAAGATATTCAGTCAGTGCTGATTCAGCAGCTTAAAGGCCTGTGGGTAAAAGCTACTTTTTAGTCTGGTGATTCTTGCTTTCACACTCCTGTAGTTGTTCAAACGACAGGAGTGTGAACAGTGTGCTGTGGGTGAGAGCAGTCTTTGATGAAGTTTTGCACTCCCGTTGTAAATATCCTGTAATGGTGGTAGATCCACAGATGGATTGTTCTAGTTTGACTCGTAGAAGAGCCTTCACGTCCTGAGTGGTGTAGTTTTTGTCTACACCCTTTCTACTTGAGCCCCATTCATTCATTCAACCTTTTTTTATACAGTTTAATCCCAGTGCGCCTCGGGAACTCGTTTACAAGAGAGACCTGATTTTAACAAAGAGTGATGACAACAGTGAACAGCAGTAAACAATCATAAAAGGAAGCATACAAACCGAGAAAAACAAGTGAAAGAAAATGGCATTAAAAAATTAAACGAACAACAACAACAAAAAATCCCAGCTAGATTATAAGGTGGTTTTGCAAGATATTCCAGGAAACAGAAGCAGAGTAGGAGAAGGCCCTTTTGCCTAGTTCAGTCCACATTGAGGGAACACTGCAGGTAATAATGTCCTGAGAGCGCACGCTGTAGCTTCACTCACGCAGAGACATGTAGGAGGAGATGTATGAAGGCAGCAGACCAAGAAGTGATTTAAAGATGAAAATGTACCAGTGGGAGAGTCTGCGTGAAGTTAATGATGACCAGGTAACCAATGAATACGGGGTGCAATGGTGGGTACGGTAGTTGCAGCCAGTTACGAATCTTGGCGCACCATGATAAACAGCGTCCAACATCTGTAAGGGTGCTTGTAGGGGCGTTCATGTAAATAATATCACTGTAGTCAATGGAGGGAAGGAAAGTCGTAGTTACAACACGTTTCCTAGCATTCAGAGTTAGACAGGATCTATTTCTGAAAAATAAACTCAATTTAACTTTCAGTTTCCTTACCAAGTTTTCCACATGGAGCTTAAAAGAGAGATGTGAATTGACCAAAATACCCAAATATTTGTAGGAATCGACAAACTCGATAGGAGCACCATTCGATATAAAATTGAAGGAAGAACTGCTAGGACCGACTTCCTGTTTCATTGATGAGTAATGGGGTATGCTGGTCTCTCCTCTTCCTTGGGTGAATAATCATCTCCTTAATCGTTTCTGTATTTAAGAACAGATTATGTTCATGGCCCCAGGGCACCAGCTGAGCCACCTCTTTCCTGTAGGCTGTTTTCTATCCAGCAGAAATCAGCTCGATGACAGTTGTGTCATCAGTGAACTTGATGATGGAGGTGTTACTCGAGGAGATGCAGTCATAGGTGAAGAGGGCATACAAGAGTAGGCTAAGCACACACCCTTGGGGAGTCCCAGTGCTCACTGACTTGGTGATTGATGCCTTGTACCCAACTCTGACTGCCTGGGGTCTGTCTATGAGGAAGTCTAGGACCAAAGCAGACTGGGGGGTGTTGTCAGACCAACAGTGAGGATTTTTAGTATTGCACTTACATTTAAATGTCTTTCTGGCGATGGAATAAAAGAGAACTAAAATTAGGCTATGATAAAGCAGTATCAGTATGAGCTCAGAAATCAGATAAATTGTTCATAATCCGTTTCATCCAACTCCCTTACATCTCAGCATGAGAATGTCATCAGCACACAGCAAGCAAGTTTGTGACAGAGTATGAGACAAATAGACAAGCAGGATGAGGGGGTGTACCAGGCACACAGAAATAAAGTGTTTGGATTATAATACCTTGCAGCCTACATTACAATTACAATTCAGTACATTACAATTCATTATGCAGCGATTTGTCTTTTGTTTTATTTCTACTTTTCTATTACTTCCACTGTTTAATGAATATATTTTTGTTCTCCTTTGCTGCAGTGTCTATTAAATTAAAGAGCCGTGTTACATTTTATGTTGCCTGTTTGATAGGCTTATGCAATGTCAGAGGGAAAAAACTGCATTAGGCACTCGGGCACTTATAAAGTCTAAAGTACAAGTGTAAAAAACGTGTGCTTTTACTATGGGAACTGGGCACATGTTGTCGTTTGGATTAGGTAAGAATGGAAAAAGCACTCAGACTGACTGTTGTGAGTGGAAATATTCAAGAGGCGTTCCATGGTTTGACAAAGTCTTTATTGTTTTTTAAGCTTGTGGTTTTTATTTCTTGCATTTTTATCATTAAATAAAGTGAATGTCAAAAACGGTTTCAATTTTGTTTGACCTTTATAAAACAAAAACATGGAACGCCTCTTGAATATTTCCACTCACAACAGTCAGTCTGAGT